TTTGTTTTAGGTTTTCATCATCTCATGATCCGTAGGTATCTCTGGTGTTCAATAATTTGATGGTTAAAATTTCTACTGTTACCCAATCTACTTTTCTTGCAGTGTTATTCATTTATTTTTTAATCGCATCTATGTGGATGGATTATTTGTTAATAACTAAAATGGATAAAGAAAATAAATACAAAACTTTGAAGTAATGAAAAATATAAAATTAACATAATCAACTTAACTTCTAGGAAAATTTCTGCTTTAAATTTTGTGACCCTCAACGCTTATGAGCATGCTTCATCTAACACAACGGCTTTCGTATTAATTCTTCAATTCGAGGTTAAGTTGCACAAAAACTTAAGGGTATGTTCTCTTTACCATTTTCAAGCCGTTTTCTATTTTCGATTTTTCAAAACAATGAAAACGCCTTCTTTTTCCCATTTTCGAAATCGCGTTTTTGAAAATAAGTTAAAAATTTACAAAGAAAATACAAAAAGGAAAATTTATCGTTTTGAGTGTTTTATAAGCAAAAATTTAAAAAACGCATTTTGGGTGTTTTCAAAACAATTTTTCAAAATATCAAAAAGAACACATTTTTTACAATCTCAAAATGGACACTTAAAACACAAAATTCAAAATGAATTCAAACCTCAAAACACAAAACTGAAACACATAGAGAACAACCCCTAAGATATCAGAGTTTTCATTTTGGACATGTCTCGATTGTTAGGTTTTTTGATACTCAATAAATTTGGGCGATGATGAAAAACAGTTGTCTGATTATTTATCGTCACCATAGACTTGGCTCGACTCGGACACGACCTATATTTCTCGGATGGCCTTAGTTGGATGTGGATTATTGTTGGTACATTGGGTGGTTTGATTTATGTGTTGGCCCATTTGTTGTGGTTTGTGTTAGCCCAAATTTGGAGGCCCAATTCATGTCTTGGCCCAATTGAGAGACCTATTCTTGACCTCCCATTTAATCCCCCTTCCAACCGTGTCTAGTTGTGGTGGAGTGTGTGAGTGTGCAAGATAAAAGAGAGGGAGAAAAGAAAGAGGGTAGGGCAGCCGAGAGTTTGAGAGATAAGAGGCTATCGGGTGTGGTGAATTTCTTGGGGAGATTCAACCTTGTTATTCTCTTCTTTTTCTCCATGTGATTGCTTGCTAACCACCACCACCACCACCATATATCTCATTTTGGGGATGAAACAAGAAGCAACCTAAGTAGAGAAATGGTTTAGGTCGAGCCAGAGTCGCAAGGTGCCGTTTGATGTTTTTCTGAGCCTGGTAAATTGGTTATCGGAGCCCCGAATTCCCGAACATCGATAACTGAAGTTCTTCGAAAACTCTAAAAAATAATTCAGATATTCTAAAAATTTATTAATGTTTACTTTGTGGAAACTTTTACAAAACATTTTATCCAAATAACTGAAAACTTAGCCCATGTTTGACTCTTTTTAAATTAAAACTCTTTATTTTCCATACTCATTTTCAATCATACATTCACACAATAAATTATTTTGCACGTAAATCTAAAACTTTTCCGTATTTTTTAACCACATATTCTCTGAAAAAACCACAACGCAAAATATCATTTTCCCTCATTTTCTCTTTATAATGACCATCAAATATGAGATTAAATTAAGAACATCACTACGATATGGACTTTTTATCATCAAGACTACAAATGAAATATTATTTTAAATCATTTAAAATAAAATACTTAATTTTTGCATGTTCTAATATTCTCTAAGCAAAAGTTTATACTTGTCATGTCGTGCTGCGTTTCGTTTTCCTAATCTCTTTCCGTGCAACCTAACTTACGAGTAAACTACAAACTTTAATTAACGAGTAATGTTATTCATCCCCAGTGGGGATGAAAACACAGTCTATGTGGTATTAAATAATAGGTTAAATGAAATATGAAATTAAATGACTTATTTAATTTCACCTATCATTTAATACCACATTAACGCCACATAGACTGTATTTTCATCCTCAGTGGAGATGAATAGCATTACTCTTAATTAACATTATATGGCATACATTCTGGTTTTTGTTCAATGATATCTACATATCATTTGACTACTTCAATCAATGAATTTTGTGTTGCCATTTATTGCAGGTAAAGTAACAATCAAACTGCATTTTCCTGCACGCAATGTTTCCTTCTTTTTAATTATTATGATTATGATATTCTTCACGTTCGGTACTGATAAAATAGTGATATGGCAGAACACATTCTTTTTTCAAGTAACTTGAATTTGATAATACTGAGAACCCGTTTGATGAAAATTAAAATCTATTTAAAATTTTCAAGTTAACGTTTACAATTAATTTTAATCATATATTTTATGATATCCATATTTTTCAGTCCCGTAAATTAGTATAGGTCATCTAGTCCGTTTTGACGCTATTGAGAATAGGGCTAAGTGAGGAATTTATTTAAATTATCAATAAACTATATTTACTTTTAAAATTCCAATTATACTACTACTACTACTTCTTTTAGATTCAACAAATATTGTCCCAATCTGTTGGGGATTAAAATAAATTTTGTATAAACTTTGATAAAAGTTGATGAAATTTGTGAATGAAAAATTGTGGAACCTATGAAATATGTGATTAAAATTAATGGTTAAAAAATTGTGAAAATGACAGTGACAGTGGTTACCGGTGGTATTAGATGGTAGTGGCGATAATTTCAACCATAAAGAAAGTCACAAAATTCAAGACCATATCAATTATCACACGACATTTCATCTAAAATCTCACATTTTCAAAAAATTTCCACCAGAATTTATAGGTGCGGCAACCGTGCTCAGTTACAGTCCATACCCATTAAGAATTGCAAAAGAAACAAAATTCAAGACCATATCAATTATCAAGCTACATTTCATCTGAATTCTCACATTTTAAAAAATTTTCCCCCAGAATTTATAGGTGCGGCAACCGTGCTTAGTTACAATCCATACACAGTGAAGTTACAGCCTAACAGAGAAGAAGGAATGTGGAAGGAGATGAGTGCATTTTGACCTTTTTTTTCCATTTTTAGATTTTGGGCATTTTCTTTAGTTGGGCTTTTTAAGAAAAAAATTGGCCCATTAAGAAGTGCAAAAGAAACAAAATTCAAGACGATATCAATTATCATACAACATTTCATCTGAATTCTCACATTTTCAAAAATTTTAAATAGTATAATCTTAATTTTAGAACAAGAAGTTGAAGTGATATTTTATATGTATTGATTATTTGAATGGAGATTTATTGTGAGAATTGTCAAAATTGGGGAATTTGTAAATATGTGATTATCTGTGATATACGTGATAAATGATAAATTGAGGAATTTAAGAATATGTGATTATATGTTATAAATGATAAATTGGTGATAAAAATTGGAAATTGAAATTTGAAAATAGTTTAAAATTTAATTTAATTTACATTTAATCTGTGAGCTACGTTTAATTTTCATACAGATTACTGTTTAAAATTTTTGAAAATGTGAGAATTCAGATGAAATGTCACATGATAATTGTTATGGTCTTGAATTTTGTTTCTTTTACAATTCTTAATGGACCAATTTTTTTAAAGGGAAAAATGCATTTATCCTATTTTTACTATATACTGTTTCAAAAATAAGAAAACAAGTTTCAAATTTTTAAAATATGATATTTGATATATATATATATATATATATATATATATAACCCCCCCCCCCCCCCTCTCTCTGTCCAATATTCGAACCAGAGAGAGAGGAGGAGAAGGGAAATTGGGGAAGGGGGGAAGCCAACGACGGTGACTCCACCGTCGGTCAGCAGCGGAGTCGGCACCACCGTCGCATGGTGGCGCCGGTGCAAGTGGGTGGAGATGGCTTGGAGGGTTTCATTGTGCTGCCCGAGAGGGAATTGCATCGGGTTCCGGGTTTTCCGGTGATATTCTGGCCTCAGCCACATTGCCCAGATTTTTNTCCGACAATTATTCTGGTGACCGTTCTGACAACTGCTCAAATTTCGACGACTATTCTGATGACCGTTTCGGCGACTATTCCAACGACAACTCTGCAATATTTGTGTGACCTATACAAAGCACGTGACTTGTTAATATTGATCTGTGACCCGTTTATATTGATTTGTGACCTATAAAAAATAACTGTGGCTTGTGAACTCAAACCTGTGACAACGATCAGTGACCTTAACGACGAATTAATTAGTCACAGTTCTATACAATATGGTCAATTAATTGGTCACACATTATTTTTGTCACAAACCACATTGTATAGGTCACAACTTATTAAAATAATAGATCGCGTATTATTTTTCGATCACAAGTCACAAAGTTTACAAGTCACGATGTATTTTAAGATCACAATTAACTATTTTATTGGTCACAAAAACTGTACAGTACCACCTCATCACCACCACCGTCTCACTTACCCTAGCCCTAGGCCACCGTCGCAACCACAACTGGGAACTTACCACAACCACTATCACTAACATCGCCAACACAGTCACAACTCACCATAAGCGTCACCGTCGTCGCCGATCCATATCGCCAGCACGCTCGACACCCACCAGCACATCGCACAGATCCACCACCGTACATTGCAAAGACCCACCACCGCCTATAATTCTATGTAAAGATACAACTGAATGTCTAAAGTTAAGATTAAGAACATTTAACCTCAAATACTCTCACACAATGATCAGCCCTGCAGGATGCAAGCTGCACAACCGAAGAATCTTTACTCTTGTCTGGGTTTTTCTATCTTAACCGGTTAACTGTAGACACATGGCATATAAGGGGATCAAACTGGACAACAAGAGCTGCATTCAGCATTGGGATGCTTCCATCTTTATCTTTTGCATTAGAAAGACTAAACAATTCGATGAGTTCATTTTCCATCCCAACTGCAAGAAGCCCTTGGTTACCAATCCAAGGCTTTGGCAACTCCTTTCATTATGTTCACTCGCATAGACCAAGAAAGAGGCATAAAAGTTACCAATCCAGGCTTTCCTGAGGACATGACAGCACACAAAACAATCAAATAAAAAAAGATGCATTGCAAGTAAACTAATATATGACCAAATTGACTACATTAAACAAGTTGCTTAAGCTGTAAACTCACCATGAATTGCAATAGCAAGGTTCCCATTTGGTATGAAATCGTATATCAACAGCTTCTCATCCACTGACCAATAATAGGCTGTAAGAGTCACAATATTAGGATGTCTTAGCTTTCCAATTGCTTCTACTTCTGTCTGGAATTCCTTAAACCTCTGTGAACCTCCTTCGCCCAATCTTCTCACAGCCAAGGTAAGCCCATCCTCGAGCACAACTTTGTAAACAATTCCAATGCCACTCTTACCAAGCACGAAAGCCGACGCCTTGAGAACTTCATCAAGATCAAATGCCACCTGTACATCCAGCGCCACTAGATCGTACTGTACTACGTTTTCTGACAAAGTCATAGATTCATCTTTCCTGAAACATAAACATTCCTTCTCCCCTTTACCTCTCTTCTGATCATAACCCATTTTCATCTTTCCTCTTGCCACAAGAGTAAACCCTCGAGTAACAGTACGAGAAAAGATCAACCACCATTTTCAGCACAACCATCACATCAGTTGCGCCGGAGATTTTCTTCTGGCGGTGACGCCACCTTCACCGCAACCACCATTTTTTAGATCCGCCACCTTCTGATTTTTGAAAATTAAAATTTGAAATCTGATTTTGGAAAATAGATCTTGAAAAGTAGGGAATTGGATAATTTGCACAACCATAATTGAGTAATGAAGCCCTGGGCTTTAGCCTTTCAGAGATCAAAATATAAGGCTTTTCTTTAAATGGGCTAGCTAGCTGTTGGCCCACTTTTCACTGACCCCTTTCTTCCTTGAATTTCAGGATTCCATGATTGTTTGGTGACACTTATAATCAAGTTATAAATATGAAATGTATAAAAATAAGTTGATAGTAAATTAAGCGTCCTACCAAAAAATGTAGATAAAAAGTGTATCTTACAAGCTTACATTTAACTTAAGCTTTGCCAAACATGCTCGTGTTGAAATTGTAATTTAAGCTTTAAGCTTTGATTTGTATGTTCATAAGAATGATGTTTTAATTGGATAGAGTTGAAGATGATTAATTTTTTTCCTGGCATGCAGAAATTATTGTTGATCGATATTAAGAGTAGAAGGAGAAGTGCAAGAAAACAAAACGACAGTTAAATGAGATTATTTTGACAAGTATAAGATAAAGTTCTTGAAATTCTGGGCAGCCATTACCCAGCAATAAAATCAGTTATATAGTACACTCACTCCACTTGGATACAGAGTTACAAAAAAAGGGGAGTATGGCCGTCAATGATTATAACATTAAAAAAAGGTCAATGAAGTAGAAAAGGAAATGGTAGCCTCTAGCTATGGAAAATCTGCTTTCAAATGTTGTCTTCAGTCCTGTCCTTCCTGGAACAAATCGAAAGAAATACTCAGCATGATTATACTTTCAACAAAAAAGTATAGCAAAGCAGAAACAGATAAATATTCGTATTTTCCATCCATAATAAATATAGTTCACCAAAAATTGAAGAACTAAAACTCCCAACAACTCCATTGTTCAACAACAGATCGAAAGGGATATGAGTGTAAAATCCAACCTTTGCATCGTCATTACATCTCATGATACTTGATATTAAAAGCTAATGGCAGAAGAAAATAACAAACAATAAGCCTCCGTTTGGAAAATTTATAAATCTTTAATAAATTGGTCAAACTTCATTTTCAGTCACACATCCAATGGATCCACAAGTATTATTCACTTGTCTCCACTCACTTCTATCTATTTACAGAAATTAAACAATTTATAAATTCTTCACAAACGGAAGCTAAATAGTCTTGCATCAAACTGACTGCAGGTGCTAACTACCAGATAGGCACAAGTGCAATGACAATCCTACCAAACAATAGATATTTTAATATATGATAGCACTCAAATTTTTCACCAGTATCATAGTAACAATTGAAGAAGCAAAGTCGTGACACAAACAGTATTTTGACTGGAAAACAAAGAGAGAATTGGCAGCTTGAAATGGAAATCAAAGAGAAAAATAATCACTTGAATAGATTAAAAAAAAAAAATTTCAATAGCAATTCATACACAAATTTCATCAAAGCATTGTGCAAGTGTAACTACAAGATGTTGGAATAATATTTCCAAATAAGGGGAAAGGAGAAGAAACAAACGAATAGAATCAAGAACTTCAAAGAAAATTCAAAGGCTTAAACACGTAAATGTAATCGTTGTCTTCAAACGATATTTGCCCCCTCTCGGATTGAATTTGATGCTTAAAGGGACTCTTGACAAATGGTTTGTAGGATTTATAAAGCCTTGAAAAGGAATAAATACTTAAATACTAGTGAAATTCCTTCAAAACTTAAGAACTCAAATAGACTTTTGAATATGAAAGAAAAAAGTTTTAATCTTTCTTGCGGAATGGAATTTGATCTCAAGTGGTTTTAATATATTTTATATTGATCATTAATCATCTATTTATA